AGGTGTAAATTCTTTTTTTTTTTTTTTCATTGAGTGTTTAACCAGAATAATTACTACCCGACTATCACTTCCTGTGATGCTAAATTGTATTTTTGTTTTAGTTCAGAAGACGTCGTTTATTTACAGAAATGACCTTAGTTCTGGGCAGATTTTGTCATCACATACTCTCACGCACACACATACGGATAAATAAGAGTTGACATCTTCAAAAGTCTTATCAAAAGAATACAATCATCTGAGTGATTACGTTCTTATTTCAATATACAAAACGCTTCACGCTTTACCACATTTTTTATGACTGGGAAACACGCTAAATTTAAAAAAAAAACGCTTATGACAAGGGAATCAATAAACATAGGCAAAATATAAAAGAAACCAACCCAGAAATAAAAGATGATACAGCATTGACACTGAAGCTGAAATAGCAGAGTCACTTCCCAAATTTACAAACACGTTTCTCATTTTCATGAAAGACTTTTGGAATCAGAAGTACATCCCAACAATGTGATATAGATCGTGCATTATGGATACAATGGTACAACAGAAACACAAAAGTAGTCCGCAAAACTCTCAGGCGTACAGAGTTGTCACAATTGGACCTTTATCGCGAAAGTACCAAGAATTTATAAACAGATTTTTCGGTTTCATGAAGAAATTCTTGTATCAGAAGTACACCCGAAAATTGTAGAGTAGATTCGCGCATATTGGGTCCATTAGCGAGAAAGTACTAAGGAACATTGTATCAACTTGGCTCTAACCGATTTATGTCTCTTAGCTTTTCAAAACCAAATTTGGCTTCCGTTCTGGTAAGGGATGTAATGATGGCAGACATATAATCAAACAAACACGGCAATTGCATACCTCTCCAATAGATAATTATATGGCCGCTATTCTGACCTCAGAGCACACACTGTACCTCAGAAATCTGAAAGCGTGGGTCATTTATAACAAATTAATTATAGGGGATAAGTAAACTGAACATAGAAAAATGCGATTGGGAAAGTCGTGCTCAATATTGCACATATGATCAAAACCAAAACATTATCCTAAAAACTTTAGTCATGTTTTTAAATAGCGTCGGTAAATTGAGCCTTTCATATGAATAGCATGCATGGCGCCAAACCAACCCAGAAATACCTAAACTGTCAGCTCAAACAATTGCTTTCTCGGATCAGTGATAAAATTATCCTGCGCCTGTTAGACTTTAATCGGACGTTCTAAAACAAAAAAAATTGAACCTTGAAAAGAAAATAATGATATAATCAATACATACATACATACATATATATATATATATATATATATATATATACCAAGTATAGGATTGGTGTATATGGAATGAATTCCAATAGCCAACAATTACTATGCTTAAATATTGCTCAATAACAAAAATGAAACAAAATGGCTATTCTAGTAGTGATTTTATAACATGTTTATGTTATAATTTTTAAATAAATAATTATATATATATATATATATATATATATATATATATATATATATATATATATATAAATGTGTGTGTGTGTGTGTGTATGTGTGTGTATGTGTTTGATCAGCAATCATTCTTTTAAACAAGTTTTTCTTACGTTGTTTTCAGCTATTATTTTAGCAGTTCTTCCGAATATGCAGAAAATTGATGTCTAAAAAAGAAAAGATTGGTAAGAACACAAGATAATTATAGAAAAAACTTAATCGCAGTGCTTTGTCAGTCGTATGTAACGAAACTTGTATTATATATATATATATATATATATATATATATATATATATATATATATATGTTTGTGTGTAAGTGGATATTGAGATTAACACAAAATGGCGACAGTTTATCATGCTTAAACATAATCCTCATGTCAGTTTGATATTTTATTATATTTACATACGCTCAATAGCTGATACTGCGTACCTTTACCCAGAAATATAGCATGCCTTCAAACTATATTTTCATCACACACACACACACACACACACACACACACACACACACATATATATATATATATATATATATATATATATATATATATATATATATATATATATATATAAATGAATAAATGTGGATCATTGATAAGCAAAAACATGCTGTTTAGCCCTCAAACTAAAATATATGGATGGATATTTCGTAAAATTGCCCAAATGTAGTATGTTTGTATTCATTATATGGTATTTTGTTCTCTAAAACTATAGTTGATTCAAATAGCCTCAGAAATTTAAATGCAAAGTAAATATCATCTTCTGCCTCCTTAAATATTGTTCTTTTTATGTGCCATGTCATTTTAGGACGTAGTCGATCATGGCTTTCCACCTCCATCTATCCTTTTCAGCTCTCAACAAGTTCCTTCCCTCTGCTTCTTCTCACAGACCACGTTCTGCCATCCACTTGCTTAGGCCCGCCAGGTATGTCACACGTTATTTCCCTTGTCTATCTTTCCCTCTATTCGACCCGTGAGTATCAAACTCTCCAGGCCATCCTTCCTCATTATGAGTCCCAGGAATTTCAGCTGCCTCTTCCTGATGTTAAGTAAAAGCATGCTCTTTGTTTGCAATCTCTCTAAGACCTCATGCTTGCTCACACGCTCGGTCCATGATATCATTATCATCCTTCTGTAGAATCACGTCTCTTTCGCCTAGAGTCTCTTCTTCATATTTGAGAAATCGTCCGACATTCGCTGCCGTAAAGAAGGACAGATGTCACGTGGCATTTCTGTATTCTCTTCTTCTCTTCTTTTCTTTGTTACCAAAGCTGGCGCTACAGAATCACAAAGAACTATACCAGATAACAGAAACCACATCAACTCTCAACAGCGACAACACATTTAATTGATATCGTATGTAACTCTCGGTGACGAAGAGGTAGCGAACTAGACTCGATATTGCGCCGCTCATTCACAAATTCCGAGGCCCGTTAGTACAGTTGGTATGACATTTGCTTGACAATGTAACTGTCCGGGTTTCAATTCTCGGTAGTGGATGCGCACTGCCGATAAGTCTCAAATATAGGAAGAAACGGGCGTCCAGTGCTTTCTGCATTCTGTTGAGGTTTTTTCTAGTCTCAATGAATTACTTAATTATCTCAAATCCTTCATAATTTCTATCGTATATACAGTGTAAAACGGATATAAGAGAAACCCGGATATAAGAGAGATTTTCTCTGGTTCCAAATTAGAGCCTGTGTTAATGTATATAAAATAGACCAAACCCGGATATAAGAGACTTCTTCTCCGGTCCCGACAACTCTCTTATATCCGGGTTACACTATATATATATATATATATATATATATATATATATATATATATACTCACCCACACACAAAAATAGAGAAAGATAGAAAGGGGAGGCATTGAGTTTGAACAGAGAATTTAACACTATATCCGCTCTGTATTGAACACTCATACTCGGTAAATATTATTCATTGTCCAGCGCTCAATGTCCTGTCGAAAAATTCATATTAACTAGCAATCAACAACTATTTTTATATTATATCAAACGATTTTACTCGGTTTCTTATATAACGAAAGCCATCTTCTAATAACATTATATAAAGAAATTGCATAATCACACGAGGATAAAACTACATCCGGGAACAATACCACTGATCAGGAGTTTGGCGGTTTTTAGGAGCGTAGAAAAACCTCTTAAATACTATCGTCTCAAGGTTCACCCAGACCCGGGTTGGTAACACCTTTTGCGGTCCCAGCTATAGGCAAATACTGAACTGTCAAACAAAAATCAAAACGATTTTATCGTAAAAATACAAGGAATATATTTCATACAGAAAATTACCAACAATACTTTTTTGTACAGAAATTACCAGCAATACATTATATATATATAAAGAATTACCAATAATATATTTTCATAGTTAAATGAAGAACACTGCATTTTATAGTGGAATTACCAACATTGCATTTCACAGTAGATTTAAAAACAACGCATTTTATAATAAAATGACCAACAATGCCTTTTACAGTAAAATTGCCAAGAATATATTTTATAATAAAATGATCAACAATACATTTTTATAGCAAAATGATCAACAGTAAATTTTATATCAAAATGACGATCAATACAACACTAAAAATATAAATATACATTTTTATTGTAAGATTACCACCAATACACTTCAAAAAATACCAGCAATACATTTTGTCATCTACAACGTAAATATCTAAAAAAAAAATTACGTCTGCCCTGAATTTATAATATTATGTACAATATATGTAGTTGAAGCTATAAAATTGCGTACAAAATATTTAGATTTTAGAATTAGGTAACACATAGAGTTTGAAATACCCCTAAACAAAAAGAACAAGCCAACTTTAAAGTCTACAGAGGACATGTTCACATATATTTCCATCTCCATTATTTGCAATGCCACGGAAGATTTTATTTTTTTATTCATCATTTATTCTCTTAAGCTTCCCATTTTATATGTCATTTCAATGCACACCGTAATTTTCACATCTGTACAACAATTTAAATATAATTATCCACAAGCCTTTAACTCTATTCTCCAGTCTTAAAATGAGAAAAATGGATAGCAAATAAATTGATCTCGAACATCCAGAGACCTGTAAAACACAGCTTCTACTGCCTAAATCCTGCTACATAAATCCTACCGCCATTTTCCATCTTTACAAGAGTCAGATATATATATATATATAAGCGGATCCTCAGGGAAGGCTGATCGTCAGGGAAGGCAGCCTTCCCTGACGACCCGCTTAGGCGAAACCTTGGTAGCTTTGTCTGGCTCTCTAGGTTTAACTAGATCTGCTCTACTTACTGTATTGAGCACTTTATTTAGGTATTTTGCTTACTCGTATCGGGTTTTTTTCATTGGACTTTGGACTTGCATGCTAGATGATTATTTGTGGCTAACGTACATGTTCTTGGTTCTTTCTTTTTTTATACCTTTTTTCCCATTGGTATTGGTTTGATTATTTGCAAATCAAGACACCGAAGATTTTCCGAATGAGTATAGTTTCTTATACTTATAAGAGTATTACTACTATTGAGATAGATAGATAGATAGATAGATAGATAGATAGATAGATTATGAAAAACTAGGTAATCCGTATGGGTAGACCCAAGGAAGATATAATCCAGAGAGCTCAATGTAAATCCAGAGCAAATAATTTAAATAAAAACAGACCACTTTAATGTTCCATGTAATAAATTATTTCACCACAGCCCTTTTAAAAGGATAAAATCCAGAGATTTAAAAGGGATGTGGTGAAATAATTTATTACATGGAACCTTAATGTGATCTGTTTTATTTAAATTATATATATATATATATATATATATATATATATATATATATATATATATATATATATAGGAAGAGAATAAGATAAGTACAATGTATGGAAGAGATTGAGAAAAGTAGTTTTCAATGGTGACAAAGAAAAAATACTGAGCTTCTACGTGACATCTATCCTCCTATACGTCAGCGAATGTTGGACTCAATCCTCAAGGAATAAGAAGAGACTTGAGGCGGCGGAGATGTGGTTCTACAGAAGGACGCTGGGGATATCGTGAACCGAGCATGTGAGCAGCGATGAGGTCTTGCAGAGGATGCAAACAAGGAGGAAGCTTATGCTTAAAATAATGAAGAGGCAGATGGCATTTCTGGAAAATATGATGAGAAACGAGGGCCTGGAGATTCTGATACTCACGCGACGAATAGTGGGGGAAAAGAGACAGGAGAAAGCAGAGCATGGCATACGTGACCGGCTTCGGTAGGCGATTGGCGGGGCGTGGTCTGGGGGAGTTGGCAGAAATTCAATACCTGTTAAGAGCCAATAGGGAGAGGGGGAAGTGGAGGGCCTACGTTCTGAAAGCACTTAAAAAGAAAAGAAAAAGTACCAGCAAACGAATAGGACCATAGAGGCACCATACTAATGGCAGCACTACGGTCTTTTGAACAGGAGTACAGGTTTATCTCTTTGGTTCCTGTTTAGAATTGGGTTCCTCGTTCATTCTAAAGTAGAATTCATCTCTATACTTCTAATGTCTCCAACTAAACTCTGAAATTTTATTGATATGTCCCGGAAAGGGATGTATTTGTTCGAAGTAGCTAAGTGGTTTTGGCTACTGCCTTTTACAGTAGAATTGCCAAGAATATATTTTATAATGAAATGATCAACAATACATTTTTATAGCAAAATAATCAACAATAAATTTTTATATCAAAATGATGATCAATACAACACTAAAAAATATAAATAAACATTCTTATGGTAAAATTACTATCAATACACTTTAAAAAATACCAGCAATACTTTTTATCATCTACAAAGTAAATCTCTAAAAAAAAAAAATTACGTTTGCCCTGAATGTATAACATTATGTACAACCGGGTAGGACAATCTAGCAGGTAGCCCTAATGGACTGGTCCTCGTCGTAGTGGTAGGCAATAGGCGTAGGAAATAGGCGAAGACAATAGACGTAGTCCATGTACTTCCACATCAGTCTGTATTTATGGCTGACACCATGGGAACTCAGGTGTGTGCATATTCATTTACCATTTATTTATTTTGGATTTTTTTCCCCAATAGGATTAAATAGGTTCGCCCTGTTACGGTTTTTTGGGTATATGACGCCTATAACTAGGGTATTTATTTGTAATTATATACAAATTGTGGCACAAGGCCGAAAGGGGAGGGGGTAGAGGCTGGTCTTCACTAACTATCTTATACCTAGCTAATCAGATTCACGACCCATTCATACGTTACAATTAACCCATTCACCACAAGGACTTGTCCATCACCACTCAATCCTTCATGCACCATAATACCAGATTCTCACAAGGGGGACCTACCAAAACGCGCCCCAAACCATAAAAATTGGATGATGAAAAATATTCTATACATAAAAATCTAATAATGATACAATGAGAGGGGAGGGAGATGAACCCCGAAAATAACTAAAAATATACACAAAATACAAAATAAACATAACGTATGTTAGTAGGGACCGTCCAACCCTCAAAACAGAGAGGCCGCTGTATTCTGCCCTGAGGACAAAATCAAGAAGCACTCTCGCTAAGGGAGTGGGGAAAGAGGATAAAATATTATACGGACATGGGAAAATGTAAAGCTGATCCAATCGAGATGAAAGGGGGACCAAAACAAACTGGGGAGATGACGCCTATAACTAGTGAGCGAGTCAGAATGACTTATTTCCCTTTATAGTCGACCAATAGAAGGTTGACCAATCAGAAGCCGCCCAACACTGTATTCATAGTGTATAAAGGCGGCCATCTTGTTTCCTCCTACCGGAAGGACCAAAGGCGACCAGGAGAAGGATGAACTACACTCTGCTGTGATATCCACTGCGAACCTCCACTATGCTTTGCTACTGTCTCCGAAATATTCACTGCCAACCTCTGGATTCGATACTCGAGGACGACCGTCATGAAAATGTCTAACACGCCCGTCAGAAGATTCTTACTCTTCCCTAATCTTGTGTACATGAATAGCGGTTTATTGCTTTTCTGTTTAGGACTGGGTCTGATTATTTAAAAAAATAATCATAGAAATTGATGTGTGTTTGACGGAGCCTCACCCACTCTAGTTTGGTTTTGAATTCAGGTTTCTTTCTAAATTTGTTGCTGCTTCAAAGCAAGAGAGCCCAGTCAGCCCTGCTATTTAACTCAGATAAAGATGGTTCCATTTTTTGTTTATTTTTTTAATTTTTAATTTTTTTTTTATTTTGGTTTTGGAAGTGAATTAGCGCGAAGTGAACGAAAACAAACAAACAAAAACAATCGACCGGGAATTCAACTCAGAACGTCCAGTTCACTTTCTGTGCCGATATGCATTACACCATCAGCACCTCCCAATGATTAGGGAAGCCGATGAACAATCCTCAGCAGAAAGCCATACTGATAGAAATACTAGTAGATAGCAACTGTGAGTAATGTTTGAAGTTCGTAAGGCGATCAACTCTTCTGGGCGGATTTCTGAGACAGACATCAACAATCTCACACTTCAATGGCTCCAGCTTCAATTCCAGGCGACGTCAGAAAGATTATGGACAAAGACTTTAATCTCGTATTCTCTGAAAAGAAGAGGAGAATTTTTCACACTTGAATATGCAGATCAGTCGTACGTATCATCAAACGCAAATATTTTCCATGGAGCATTGCGCGCATATTTTTGCGTTGTATCCCTGGGAAATATCTTTTTTTTTCTTCTTGGGATTGATGAAAACTAGACCCAACGGCAGAATAGTTGCCTTTCCTTCCTTTGTAGAAAACTGTCATAGCAAGAAAAAAGAATGAACATCGGCTTGTTTATGTAAACATTTCTTTTCTATTGAATTTTCACACAGGCGTTACTTGGATCTTTTAAAAATTCTCTTAAAATGTTTCAGAACAATGCTTAGTTTTGCTGCATTTCTCTATATTACTGATGTATAGGGATTTTCAAAGCGTAGCTTAGATGTGGCACAAGGCCAAAAGCATGGGGCATCCAGTGAGAATCGAACTCACTTTTCAGTAGTAACTGACCTAGCAAGAAAAGCTTGCTAACCATTACACCACGCCGAAGTGCTTCCAGTGATTTTCCAAGCGTAGCTTAGATGTGGCACAAGGCCGAAATTAGGGAGCACCCAGTGAAGATCGAACTCACTACTCAGTCGTAATTATTCTAGCGAGCCAAGCTTGCTGACCATTACATCGCCTCGATATGCCTTAAGATATAGTGATTTTCCAAGCGTAGCTTAGATGTGACACAAGGCCGAAATTAGGGAGCACCAAGTGAGGATCGAACTCACCACTCACTCGTAATTGATCTAGTGAGACGAGCTTACTAACCATTACACCGCCTTGGGGCGCCTTCGTATTGATGTATAAATATGTTTCCTGGGTTCCTATCGAATGTAGAGTTTTTTTTTAGAAAATTCAAATTGTTACTGGTTCTCCAGTGTTTATATAAACACCAGTTATTTAATATGTCAAACGTGTGTTAGTTCTGTAGTAAGGTTTTTATAGATATCCAACACTTGTAGAAAATTCTATTAAAAAGTTACAAGAGGAAAAGAACAAACAGCAAACCACAAATTGAAGATGTCAAAATCAAACAAATATAGAAATTTAAGTATCTGGGAAGCGTTTTAAGAGAGAATGGAAAATGTGACACTGAGATCCAAAAAGGCATTGAACTAATGAAAGAAACATTAAAAAAAAAGTTAAGCAACTAACAAAAAACATATTATTAGAAAAGAGTGCTGGATGGCAATGTGTTATCCATCCTCTGATACGCCAGTGACAAGCTCGTACCAGGAAGAAACTAGAGGCAGTAGAAACATTATTTTACAAAAGGTACCTGAATCGTCCTTGGGCATGTTGAAGACGAGGAGATAGAGGAAGTAAGCTAGGTACTTACCAGATGAGCCTGTGTAAATGGATGTCGGATTGGATGGCTAGGGCCTTAGTAAAATGAGAAAAAAAAGTGTTATGCGTAACAAAAAATAAAAATCATTGAGGAGAGCCATGATACATTCCTCTCTCATTAAAAACTAAATTGCCTTGTTATTAAAGCATCGATATTTTGCAAAGGACATGTTAAACCGCCACATATAACAATGAGTTGTATTTTCCGTCGATTAACGTTTTCCATTATGTATGAGTCTGATCAGTAGCTAGACGAGTGGCCACTTTGTAATACCCGGTGCTGTAAACTTAGATGTGCGGGGGGTATAATGGACATTGGCATGGAATAATTAATTCGGGAGCCGATGTTCCAATTCCAATTGAGTTCCTTATATTCACCTACGCGCAAATACAGTGGCAAAGGTATGAATCCACCTTTTCTCATCGCAGTTATGGATTAATTAGTAAGGCTTGTATCACTAAAAAATTATTATCTAAAAAATAATAAAGAAAAGAAAAATCTTACAATCTAAAATATTTCCTGGCTTTAAATAACCTGTAAAGGGTTGTTAAACCGTAAAAAACAAATTAATCTACAAAATCACTAAGTTCGAAATCAAGTCCATTTTGACATCAATCTTAAAGCAAAATGTTGCGTCTTATAGACAGAAATATACGTTGATTCCGTTCCATACAGTTTAAAAGTTATTTTTAGTGGATAATCATATTTGAATAGATGCGACATTTATTTTAAACATTATATTTATTTTCGTCCACGGCCTGAATATTTACTAAATATTAATATTATTAAATATATTATTATTATTAAAAATACTTTATCCCTTCGGCAGGATTCGAACACTCACAGGGCATAACGAAGTGAAGAGAGAAATTTGCTGACGAACCTGACGAACAAGTGCGAATTGATGGCGGAATGTGTGGCGACGGCTTTAGCAAAAGGAGAAATGCTGTTGAGAGCCACAAAGGATAGGAAGTTGTGGATAGCCATGATACATTCTTCTACGTCTAAATTTGTTATTAAATCATCGACATATCGCAGAAGACTTGTTAAACGACCAGGTATAGCAAACAGTTGGGTTGTTTATCTGTTATTTTGATATCAAACGTTACGGCAAAAATCTGCGTCTAATACACAGAAATAGATGTTAATTCCGTTCCATAGGGTGGAAAGATTGTATTTGCACCATTCTTTAAAGCATTATTGTTGCACCAATCAGTCTCTTGCCAATATGTCTGTAGCGACTTGAAGCGTGAAATACGGAAATTATCTACAAAGAAAGATGATTCGTGTTTTGAATGGATTTAGACCACAAAGGAGATTTAGATTAAGAAATAGATAAAGTCGGTATCTAAAAGAAATAAAGTTTTGAAATCATGTTTATAGCTTGCCCTCCAATCTTTGATCTGAATGATAATCATTTCTTAACGTCTTTAGATTGAAGAATAAAATTCCTTGAAAATGTGAAGGATCGATTTAAATTTGACATCGTTGTAGATCGTTATGCTTTGTCAAGAATATTTCTATTGATTTAAATCAATTTCCACTCTTCAACGTGATTTTCAATGTAAATTATTTTTTATTGTAAATATTGTTATCTTCTTCTTCTTCTTCTTCTTTTATTATTATTATTATTATTATTATTATTATTATTATTATTATTATTCTACGCGCCGGTTCTCTTCAGGAGGTCCCTCCCCACGCCGTCCTATCCGTTGTAGATGTTACAAGTTGGCTGTTTGCCATTCTTCGCAATATCACGTTCCATCGCTAATTCACAAGTTCGTCAGGTAGGTAGCCTGCCGCCTACACATATTTTTTTTTACGTTTAGTATGTCCTGTGAGGGTTAGATTCTCCAAGCCCTCTTTTCTCTCTATGTTTCCAAGAAATGTCAGCTGTCTATTTCCGATTCTATGATTCTATGTATAGGCGTCTATTTTGTTTCGATTTTTTATGATTTCTTCGTTACTATTCGCTCCGACCGACGTATTCTCAGCATCCTTCCGACCGACGTATTCTCAGCATCCTTCCGACCGACGTATCCTCAGCATCCTTCTGACCGACTACATCTCTGATGCTTCAAGAGTTCTTTTCATCTGTGAGGAGATAGTGTCCAGCATTTACTGACGCATAAAAGGCTTGATATCGCATAGCAGTCCAGCAGATTTCTCTTTGTTTTTAACGATTTTTTCCTTTTTCTCTTACTGCTTTGAGGTGGAGGTGCGGGCGGTGGCAATATTGGTTTGGAATGAGAAATCGGATAGACAAGTTCGAATTCCAGCTGAGTCTTTTCACACTCTTATGCGCAAATATCCCTTGGAAAACGTATAAATCCACATTGGTTCCTGTTGTTTATGCAATATTCGCTCAAAAAAATATATATATTTTTGCCATCCAAAAATTTTCCAGCCATAAATAACTAGGAAAGATTTGATAAACCATAAAAATGGAATCCAAATCAAAATTGTAAATTTCTGAGATGACGTATTGTAATTATTTATATGAGTTCTGACTGCTGTCCTCATCTTTGATGCAACATTCACGACTTTTCAACCGTTGTACGCTCTGGCCATCTTCAGGCGATTAGAATTTCGAACTGAACCCTTTATTTCGTCCGCCGGGGTAGATTGTTCTAGTTCCACGTGCCATACCTCTTCCAGATGTCTCAGTATCCGTTATCGTCCTAAAAGACATATTGGCAGATCTCCAATTTTTTGTTCACCTCTGCAGTGGACAGGTGTTGAACTCACAAATCTTTGGTTCCAGTCACTCGATTCAACCAACATTTATATCCACTGGGCCATGTGCATCAAACATGGCAACAAAAATGAAGACAGCAATCCGAACAATGTAAATTGTGTAAATAAAATCGTAATACTAAGCTTAGCTTTTGAAAGGCATCTTTTGCTATTTAAATGCGCCTTGGCATTTCTCATATTCCATCCTCAGTTAAAAACGTTGGGAGATATTTTTCATTTCTATATATATTTTTTGATTTTGATATTTTCACTTCGTAGTTTGCGGCATTTTCTTTTTCACTGGTTGTCTTTTTAATAGAATTTCATCGTTCACTTCCCAATGTGTTTACTTTTAAATGTTTTTCTTTCTTGTTTTATAACAGCTTTCACATCACCCTCCTGTGACAAATTATCCGAGACGTGGCAAATTTGTATTGAAGATTTTACCACCTATATCCATCTATTATTATTTTCTCATTTTACCACAAATAAGGCACTAAAGACCCTAAGACGTACGAGGTCAGTGAGTGCAGAATAATGCGATGAAAGAAATAACACAATTAAAGAGAGAGAACAATAAAATAACAGGAATTAAGACTGAATATAACGATTGACATTACATTCAAATTTGTAAAGACCAAACTTGACTGGAAAGCAAGACGCCCGAGAACTGTCCCACAAGTGAGAAGAAACTCTTAGTATAGAACTTACGGTTATATCTAGCCATATCAACGTTTAAATAATGAGACCTTGCCGCCAATCTAATGCTGCAAATAAATTCATAAAGTCTGGGTACCATAGTTGAAGCGTCATCAGGACAAGTACCCTGAAAATACAACAGC